AAGTACGGGTTGAACATTAAACCCAACTCAAAGAATATTGATCGGGTCGAGTATTGGATTTAATAAAATTAGACCCAAACCAACCTGCGAACACCCCTATCAAAAATGGCGTCTCTCTCCAAAAATCTCAACTGAGTGCTATTTATAGAAAACAAAAAGTTGCAGACCGCGTTAAGCACAATGTCAAAAAAAAACACATTAAACCGCCTTAAATGGCTCTAAGCGCAGAATTTGGCGCTAAGTGCGGAATCCTCTGCCTGACCTTCTCTAAGCATGCTTTGTTATGCTTAGCCTAAACTACAACTTTTGATTTTCTACCAAAAATGCATCTTGAAGCTTTTCTTTGCCTTTTGGTGCCCAAAACTCCTCCACTGCATACAAATCTACAAAATAAGTTAGAATTGATCAAACTACACAATATTTACACAAAAGTTGAGGTTTTGACTTGTGAATCCAATGAATTAAGTTAATAAGCACCACCAATTCATACACAAATTGGCACGTATCATCCATACGTGTTTATAAATACCTTACGGTTAAGGGGAACAAATCATAATGGCACACATACACCTTAAAGTTATAGAGCTTCTCACCTTATGAGTTTTCTCTCTCATAATCGTAAACACCACCAAACATGGCCTATTGCCGCCGCGGGAAAGCCCTAAAGGTCACCACAAAAATACTAGGGACTTTAGTCACCCCTATTAGCTCAAGGGTACCATGCATCCTATTTTTTTGACAAGTACAGTGGCGCCCACTATGGGGCCCTAGTAAAACTAACCTGGGTCAGACTTTTTGTTACCATCACCACTCCGATGTTCACTGAAACCTCAGCTCTTGAACCTAACTGTTTCCAATCATGGATGCTAGAAGAGCGCAATCTCCCACGCCAGAAGACACTAGAGGTGTCAATGGTTCCAATGCCATGAAGGAGATGTGTGCCTCCATAGACGAATTGCACCGCCATAATTAGAGTTTAGAGGACAATTTCCTTAACATTCAATAGCACCAAAAAGGATAACCCTCATAAGAAATAGAAGTGTTGGATCCCCATACATTTTCAGACAATATATGGGAGGCGCCTCTCCCCAAAGGGTTCAAGCCTCCCTCCCTGGAAAAGTAGATGAGTGTAGTGATCCTTATGAATATGTTGACTCCATCAACACATAGATAGCCATCATCAGAGCCCCTGACTCCCTAAAGTGTAAGTTATTATTTGGAACTTTCAGAGACACAACCTTAAGATGGTATATGGGCTACCCGAGCTTTCATAGCCACCTATCAAGAGTTGGTGAAGAAACTCATTGATAACTCACTATGTGGGAGGTATTCTAGCCTTTAACATTTGATTCTATTTTGTTATTAAGTAAGCTTATTAGGATAATTTAGGTTGATTTTGTTGTTTTAAGTAGATTTGTGAAGAGAATAATAAAAGCTCTCTTTTGTGTGGTTTTATGTATTTGTCATATGTGTATGAATGATTTCTGATGAGTTCTGGCACAACATAAATATAACTTGAATTTAACTTTAACTTATCGTTAAGAGTCAAGAGCAAAGAAGGTTACAATGAGTGAATGTTCATGACAGTAGGGCACGTGTGGCAACAATTTGAGGATTGGAATGAAAGTGAGCTGAAAACGAGAATGGATAAGATAAAGCACTAAAAGACGAAGTTTGCAAAAGTCGTACAATGCATAAGGGTGCACGTTGTGTCTGGCTGCACATCAAGACTGTCATATGATGCGTTGTCCCCTGCAGGATGGAAAAATGTACTATGTTGAGCTGATTCAAATGCAGAAAGAAGGAATGTCATGTGATTAATGGACTAAAACCAATGAATATCCATAGGGCCTATGATCCAATGACAAGAAAAAACCTACAAGTTATAGGGTATAAGAGGAGTCTTTTAGGCGAAACGAGAAGGGCTTCAAAAGTTAAAACAATTGAGAAATACATCGAATAGTTATCTAATTGAAGAAGAAGAAGGGTGAACCATAATGAATAGTTCCTTCTTTCCATCCTCCATTAAAGAAATGTTGGGCTTCTTGACGTTCGAGAACTCGCCTCCTGCTGATTGAAAGATTGCAAGAAGTAAAATGTCATAGTTAGGTTTACATTTTCTTTTGATTTGCGTTTATCTGTTGAATGTAAGAACTTATGTGGCTATGTCTCTTATGCTCATTATGAGTTAAATTTTTTATGTTGAGCAATGTGAAATTTAATGAAAACTAGTATTTTTTGTTAACTTGGTGTGATTTGAAGTGATATATTTTGTTATATGAAATAAGATTATAAAACTTTTTTTTACTGATCACCTTAGAAATAGGTAAAAGTTGGTTAAAGGTTGAGAGATTCATTAACTAACAGACTTCATAAGCAAATATAGTAGAAAATAGTAGGATAAACATATTCACTAGATTAGTCACTTTTGATATAAATGACTACAACCATATGGAAAATCAGAAGATGCAAAAAATATGTTTTAATGTTATTGCGAGGCATCGAAAGTTGTCTTAACTTACTACATATGCCTTGATGTTGTAGACATACACCACTAGATCACCTTTTGCCTCATTTATCACAAGAGATCTCATTAGACACACATAGAATATGAATTTCATTAGATGAATCAATTTTCAACATGCCACTTACTATTAAGTTAACCTATTTATCTTCACTTATATCTCGTTGTATTTCATCCTGATCCTGTGACAAACCACTATTATTACTATCTCCTTACTCATGACATTTCACAAGATTTTGAAGAAAGAATCAATTTAAGTTATCACAATATCTATGTGATCGATACTTTTTACTTATATAACTTTCATAAAGTTGCATATTTTTCTACAATTCACATTAATACTCTTATATAAACATTAAATGATTCTCTCTCCTAAAGTTAATTTTGTAAAATCATACAAATAACCAACAAATTTATTACTCCAATCAACTTTCTTAATTTTTGTAATGTTTTATATAGGGTCTTATAGTTATAGACGGAGGTAAAGTTGTCAAATGGGCTGGCCCGACACAGTCAACTTTGACTCATGGGCCAACATGTACAAATGGGTTGGAGTGGATCGGCCAAATTACTTCATGGATTATCAAAATTGAGTCCAACTCAGTTCCTAATGGGTCATGCGACCCGATGGGTCAAACCGATCTATATTGCAATATTATGGTTTTAATTTTATAAAAAGAGATGCAATGAGCACAAACTACATAAGTAAAGAGTAATAATGAATTTAGTTAAGTGATCTTTAAAATATTCATCAAATCAACGTCCATATATATAAATACCACATAAACATCTATGTAAAAGTAGAGAGTAATTGAATTACGTTTCATACTTATCAAATTTTCTCTTCATTCATCTCACAATTATATCCTTGATCACATCATATTTAAAACATTTCTTCATCATCTCTACATTTTTTTTCATTTAAAATCACAACTATGCAATCATATCTTAACTCAATTTTTTTTTTCTTTCTAAAATTAATTAAATTTATTTTTAATAAGCCAAACTAAAGTCCACTTGGCTAGCTCGGCCCGATCTATAAAAGGTATAGGTCCAATGAATTAGATCAAAAGATAATGTCGTGTTTTTTAAAGTTTTTTTTAACCCGATGCTAAATTATAGGACTTGTGAGCCAAATCAATAGATCAGACTCATTTTTACAGCGATAAGTAGTGTTCTGAAGATATTAAAAAATAATAATTACAAAATTTCTAAATCATTAGTATAACTAAATATCAAAATATTTTCATAAATAAATACATCATTCAATGATTAGTTTATTACTTTATTCAACAATGCTTAGATACATTTGTTCATATATCTTTCCCGTTAACATGAGATTTTGGGCAGGGGTTTGTGCGCAGGTCACAGCCTGAGTGTTTTCTGGAGTATGGTGGATTGGCATCCTGTTGAGCTTGTTTGCGTTTTGCTGTCCAGTTTATATCACTGGGTAGTGCCTGGCTTCATATTTTTGGGGCATTGGTCTTGTGGTGCAGGTCTTTATTTGCAGAACTCAGTTGGTTATTTCGCGGTTGTTTTTTGTGTTGGAGTTTTTGGCATCTCTTAGATCTGCTGGTTCCTGTGCTGTCGGTTTGGTCTGTTCGCGTGACTTTTGCTCCGGCATGTGTATTTCGCTCTGTGATCATCGGTTCCTGAGTCTTGATTGTTGGCGGGCTGTGTCCAGGAGCTCTCTAGTTAGTCCTGGTGTTCCTGATCCATCCGTGAGGCTTGTTTTGGGGTGGTCTTGCTCCTGCTGTCCCCATCTGTTTGGCATAGCAGGCGGGGCCGGGTGATTGTTTCGCGAGTTTGAGGGGGAGTTAGGTGGCTTTCCTGCCTAGGGGATAGTCTTGTTAAGTGGTGTTGCTTCTAGATTATTTGTTTGTAAGATTGATCTGTTCCGGATGTTTGTTTCTCTGTTTTGGGTGTGTGCTAGTTTTGGCATCCATGGGGCTTGTCTTTTTAGCAGGTGGCCTTTTGTATTGTAGAATCTGTTCTGTAACTTTGTTTTGGTGATGCTCTTTCTTGGCATACCTTATGCTAGATTGAGCTTGTAATACAATCTTTTTGCCTCTTAAAAAAAAACATGAGATTTTGGGCGACAAATGCAAGTGTACATAGAGGGCATACATTTTATATTCATTTTAAATATGTACTATCAATTTTGTTTTTCTGATTATATATCCATGTGACGGAATATATAAAGTCATGGCCTAGTAATAATAGTATGATGCAATTATACATAATGTAGACTTCAACAAACTTTCCCAGCCACAATAAATGCTTACTTAAAACAGGTAATTTCACAAACGCATAAAATGGGCCAATAAATAAAAAAAACACATTTAAAAAAAAATTTAATGCTTCATGATTCATCTCAACCAACTCTGCTGACACCATCCTCTTGTTAAATTCATCTAGCTACTTCCCACATATAGACTTAACCACCTCAATTTGTTGATCACAGCTTGGCCTCACAATGGTGGATGTATACACTGTGAAGGTGGAAGAAGCAAGATCTGCAACTCATGGAAAGCCATCAGCAGGTCCTGTGTACAGATGCATCTATACTAAAGATGGTTTGTTGGAGTTACCTTCTCATTTTCAATCTCCATGGGAATTTTTCAGGTTACTATTAAGTACTAGTACTTCTTTCTCTTTAGTTAGGAAACTTAGCCTCATTTTGAAATTTGCAATTTTTTATTTTATCTAGTAGCATGGCCAGAATTTCACTTAAAGTTGAAAAGGTGGAATGTTTAGAGTTCCAACCGGTGCCCCTACAATTGACTGCAAAAATATCTAAAACAATAAAAATTTTGGCACATGCAGGTCTCAAACCTGAGACCTTCAGGTTACTAGCACAAGGCTTTAACCAACTGAGCTAATGGGCCACTTATTTTAATTTTGAATTTTAAATGACCTATAGATTAAATATGTGTTTTGATGCTTCTTTGTTTAGGGAGTCTGCTGCAAAGTGGCCTGGTAAACCAATGCTTGGTCAGCGTCAAAAAACCGATTCAAAGGTAACTTTCATTCATGTGTTTCTTTTGCATCATTTCTTACTTAGAATTTTGGAGACAGTAACTTACTTGAATTAGCCTTTAGAATACATATAACTTAGCTATTTTGCAGGTTGGCCCCTATGAATGGGTCACATTTGAGGAGGCTTATGATGCTGCTATCCGAATTGGTTCCGCCATGAAGAGCCGTGGTGTCAATCCTGTAACTGTTCTTGTTTTAGTAACATACTATACTAAATATTCAAAAATTTATGTAATTAATCTAACTAGTTTTTTTTCTTGTACCACAAGGGTGATCGTTGTGGCATATATGGATCCAATTGTCCTGAGTGGATAATTGCAATGGAGGTATTTAGTATGTTAAACATGTTATGATATAATATGATATCGATATGATTAGCCTTATGAATTATTGCATTAGTGCTTTAGTGACTTGATTCAAATTCGGTGTTTCCAGGCTTGTAACAGCTATGCAGTAACATATGTCCCATTATATGACACTCTTGGTTTGTGTTTTTGTGCCTTTTCCCTGTAAATCTCAATAAACTTACTTTTATTATTTATCGAATTTAGGAACTTAATGTTTGATAAACCTTTCGTATTTATAAATAAACAGGTCCTAATGCTGTGGAGTTTATCATTAACCATGCTGAAGTTTCGATAGCATTTGTACAGCAAAGCAAGATTCCTTCGGTAGGTTCCATTCTGTTTCTTGGAGCACAATCTTTTACTCTCTGGCTCTTCATTATTGTTTTCTGGCGAATAATTAACTTACTCGTTGAATTTCTTGAAGATAATTAGCTTATCGTTTTTTGTTGTCACAGGTTTTGTCATGTCTTGATCGGTGTACAAGTCTTAAAAGTATGTCTAATCGAACCTTTTTGTTATTTCTGTTATTATTAGTTTTAAGAGTCTTTCAATCTAACCAATTAACTTCTGGAATTTAACGGCTTAGCTATTGTGAGTTTTGGTGACGTTTCAATCAATCAAAAGACAGAAGTTGAGGAACTTGGTGTTTCGTGCTTCACATGGGGAGAGTTTCTTCAGTCGGTAGGAACTATGATTTTTAGCTGCTTACTGATGTTAATACTTTATCACTAACAACATGAACCATTGCGATCAAATACAAGATTTTTCTCTTTCGATATAATTTTATCATATATTTTTATTTCTGCAGGGAAATCGGGATTTGGATCTACCGTTTAAAAATAAGATTAACATCTGCACAATCATGTATACAAGTGGAACAACAGGTGAACCAAAAGGTGTCATTATTAAGAATGAGGCTTTCATGACTCAAGTGCTGTCCATTGACCAACTACTTTCGTTAACAGACAAAGGCGTAAGATAATTCATTTTCTTTATGATTCGCTTGTTTTGTGTAATAAAACTTTTTATAAGTCCGTCGTTAATTATTTCATTTGTTTTTCCCTATAGATCTAAACATCTCATTCTGAACGTTGATACGAACATGTTCTATGTGAAGGTGAGAAAAACACTTAGAAGGGGGGAGGGGGATTGAATAAGAGTTTTAAAAACAACTTAGGAGATAGAAAAAATAACACAGTATTTTTATCCTGTTTCGTTTGAACTCAAACTAATTCAGTCCACCCTACCAAGGTGATTTGCCTTTCTCAACAAGGACTTAATCCACTATATCAAACTTAATTACAGTGTAAACCACTAAGACAACTGTCTTAATCTTCTCAAGAAAATCTGACCACAACTTGGTCTTCTCAAGGAAATCTTTTACAAAGATAAACTAACAATTTGTGTTTAATGTTTTGCTTCTAACAAGCTATATCACAACTGTGATGTTTACACAAGATTAAGAACAAATATGAAAACTGTTAAACTTTGAAGAATATCTGAATGAGAGCTTGTGAGTTGATTTTACTTTCAATTGATTTTTCAATGTTCGTCTATGTGCGTCGTCAACGTTGGAGAGATGCTGAAGCTTGTTTAAATACTACTTCAAGTCCTTATCTCAAAGACTGTGCATTGTTGTACGTTCTGCTGCCTCTGTTGCCTTTTTGTCCTCTATTGACTTTTCCTTTCTAGGAAGAGGAATGTTCAGATATGTGTTTTGTGTCTAAATTCTTGTGTCATGCATAAATGAGGAATAGTGTCGTTGGAGCAGACGTTGGGATTAGCAACAGATCTTTTCTTTGAGCTGACATCTTTTCACATGAATAAATATATCCTTCAAATAATACTAACATCAGATCCTCTGATGTAGTTCCTTATTCTTCAGATCAGAGTCTTGCAGCAATAGTGCTGAAGCGTGAATGTTACAATCAGCGCAAAGTTGAATATCAGAGCCTCTGTACTTGCAGCGTGAAGTACTTCCAGAGTCTTCTGAAACAATGTTGTACCCTCTTTACTCAAATTCTTCTTAGCTTCACTCAGAGTCATCTGTAGCAGATCAGAGTCTCTTCAGGCAGCGCTCAGAGTCTTCTGAAATGTTGCTTCTGACGCTCAGAGTCTTAACGTTCTTTTCAGTTGCAGATGTAATTTTTGCTTCCAAATGAATATATAATTTAAGATCTGAAACAAAATTACTTAAACACAATTAGAGTATATATTTCCTTTATGCAAAATTTCATTTATGTTATCATCAAAACAATGAGATATATTAAACACCAATTTGTGTTCTAACAATCTCCCCCTTTTTTATGATGACAAAAACATAGGAAATTTTGTTCAATAATAAGAAAAAAAATATAACTTCCCCTGAGATTGTGAATCTCCCCCTGAATTGAATACCATGAGAAAAATAAATACTTCCCTTTTTGATTAAGTATTCTTTTCAGAATCAGAGTCTGATTTATACTTTTCAGAATCAGATCCTAGTTTGGATCCTGATTTGGACCAGAGCCTGATTTAGGAGCTTTCAGAGTAACTTTTATGAATTAAGTCAGATGCAACGTTATAGTTCTTCTGAAAGACTAAAATTCAATGTTAGTTATAATTTATGTCTGAATTCCATTTTGGTAACTGTTTATTTGAACAATTATAATTTCCATTTCTCTCCCTTTTTGTCATATCAAAAAGAAAAAACTTTTTAAGACACAAAAGAAGAACAGAGAAAAACGAATATGATAAAACAGATAGAAACAGAAACCAAACAGATGCATTGATTAACAAAATATTCAGAGGATAATCATATAAGCAGAAAAAACATAATGTGCACAAACAACAGAAAAACAACTAAGGTTGACGAGAGGTTATCATCTTCAGAAGGTTTGTGATCTCAGAAGTAGATTCTTCTTGCCTAGCCATCCATGTCTTGATTTCATCTGTTGTCTGTTCTTGCTTAATCATCCAAGATTTGATCTTTGTGTTGCTAGCTTCAAGCTTAGCAAACTTTTCTTCAAGATCTGGATTCTCTTTTTTGACTTCAGAAGATGCAGGATCAGATGCAGACGCAATCTCAACAACCATAGCAGAGGCAGTCTCTTGAATCAATGAGTCAGATGCTTGATTCAGAACCATCAGAGCAGACTGAATTGACACAAGAGTTTCTTCAGCAACAGACACTTCTGGAAGAGCATCTTCAGACTTAGATTCTTCAGCAGGTGCATTGTCCAGAGGAAGAACTGGAGATCTACTCATATTCAAAAGAGTTTGTTTGATAGCTTCAGCAAATCTCACCTTTGCATCATCAGAGCAAATGGTTCGAAGGTTTGAAGCTACAAACTTAAATCTTGAAATGAATATGTTCCAGCTAGCCTCAGAATCATTAGGATTCAGACTAGACATGCACTCCTTCTTGACAGAAGACAGCCACATGTTTAATTCCTTTTTAAAACCAACCAATAAAGTACTAACATCCATTCTAGATTTTGGTTTCAGAAAGTTTTCTAGAGAGGGTGTTTTGGTGGTTTCAGATGTAGAGGGTATGGGAAAGGAAGGAATGATGAAAAGAGGATGAGGATATGGTGAAGAAGGTTTAGTAACAGTCTTTGGTTTAACAGATGGAATGATATCAGAAGGCATATGACAAAATGGAACAAAAGCTGATGTAGGTTTTGGAGTTGATTGAGAAAGGATAGGTTCAGATGAAATGGATACATCTGGTTGTTTTGGTTCATAACCACAGAGTGAAGGGGGTGAGCTCACTTCTGAAGGTAAATCAGATTCAGAAGAATCAGATGATGCAGAAGAGTGACATGATGTTGAGGAAACGTCAAAAAGAATTTTCAAGGATTGTACGTCAAGAATATCAGAATCAGGTATAAATGATTCAGAAGTTTTAGGTTGTTCTGGTTAAGGATCAGAGGGAATGGGTTCTTTTTGTTGTTGTTCAGAAGATTGTGTTTCTGGTGGGGGAATTTCAGAAGTTTGTTTTTCAGATGGGTGTGGTTGAGGTTCAGAAGTTTGTTTTGATTTAGGTGTAGAAGGAATAGGTTGAGATGTTTCTGGTTAAGAAGGAATGGTTTCAGATTCATGAGGAGGATAAGGTGAGGGTATAGGTTCATAGGTAGGGGAATCAGATGCTAGTACTTCTTTGACAGTTTCTAAGATGGAATCTAAACTAGCAGCAGGAGAATTACCTTTTTGCTTCTTGACCCTCTTTGGTTTTGCAGAAGCTGCCTTGCCAGAAGCTTTCCTTTTTGGTTTAGAAGATTCTTCTTCTGATACTTTCCTTTTCTTCCTGTGTCTGTCCCCATAAAAATCTGGTTCAGGTTCGCCTGCTTTCTGAATCAGATGTTCTGGTAGAGGAGTTCCATCTGCCAGACACGTTGCTATATAGGTCAGAATAATTTCCCTTGGTTCATTAGCGTAGAACAGAGGAAAATCATCTACTGGTATCCTTCTCTTGCTGACTTCTTCAGAGTTGATCTAAACAGGTGCAGCAGTGAGTTCTTCTATAATTTTCATCCTCTGAAGACTTTTCCCATTCAGAGGTTTGCCAATCACAGAAGCTAATTCTTCCTTCATTCCAGCTTCTATCAGATGTCCAACCAAGCCATTATCAGTCAAAATATCTGAAATGAGTCTTCCCATTGGAATCCAATTTCTCATCTTCTGATACTTAGTTCTGACTTCTTCTCTTGATTGTTTCACATGAGTCCACAAATGATTGAATAACAGATAAGGCAGATCCACTTTTGTGCTTTGACTCAGACAGTACATGAAGTACATCTGATCAGTGTTGACATAATCATAAGAGTTTGAAGACTTCCTGTGATGTATACATCCCATAAAGATCTTAGCCCAGATCCTGTAGATTGGCTTCAGATCTTTCACTTTGTTAGAAGCTTCTCCAGATGAGCAAACTTCACTGTAAACCTCTGTCGTATCAATACGCCCAGCTGGTAGATTTGTAACACCATCAGTTTCTTCATAACCAATAAGCTTCCTGATCAAATCCTCAGTTATGCTGATTTCCTTCCCCAAAACTGAAGAAACAATAAACTTAGGGTATGTAGTGGCATGAATCCAAAATTCTTTTACCAAGCATGGATAAACTAGTCCCATCAGTCTATCAAAGAATTTTGTCCAACTTTGAGCATCAACAATTGGACGAAGGTCAAACCCATTTTCTGCAATAGATTCAAAATTCATGATTGATTCACATAGAAATTCAAGTTTATCAACCGGTGTGAGGAGGGTTCTAACTAGTTCTTTGAAAGCAACAGTACCCAGATTTGCAGAAGAAATAACAGTCATTGTTGATTGAAGTTGTTGAGAGGTTGATGAAGATGTAGCCATTGATGAAGTAGAGAGGGGTTTAGGGTTTCGTTGAGATTTGGGTTTTGAGGAGAAGATGAAAGAATGCAATAAGCAGAAATGCATAAGAGATGTGAACGAGGGTGAAAAGTGTGAGAAGTGAAGTGTTGTGGAATTCATAGAGAAAGTTAGGGCACATAAGAGTCACACATTCAACATTTAGCATTTAATTAAACATTAAATCACATCAAACATAATCATGACAAGAAAAGCATTTAATGATACTGACAACGCGTAGGGGGAAAACGAGAATTAAAATTAATTCAAACAGTACCTCTAAACGGCGTTTCAGTGCTGGACACTCAATCGTTTCAGATTCAGATGACACGTGTTTGCTTGCATGTGCTTCTGAAACTCTTTGAGAAATGAAACGTTAGCCAACGTTCGGATCCTCTGAGGCTTGTCAATTCAGATTTGCACACAATAAATAAAGTAATAAACAATAAATAAGTAAATGAAATACTTCAGAGTTAAAATATTTTCCATCTGAGGAAATTTGCTTTTGATAAACATTTTATTCTGGACAGAAATCCATACTTATATTTTTCAGAATAAATTTAAATCTATCTTCAGCAAGGGGTTTTGGAAAGATATCAGCTCATTGAT